TTCGTTGTTTACTTACAATGATAATAATTGACTTTCACCTCGCCTCATAGTTCAATGTTCAACAACAGTGATCACATAACAGTGATACAGTTACAGTCAGGGTAAACAAGTCTAATAAATAATCCGTAGCTTTACAATTTTTTTGTTATTTAAAGTATTCACGGTTAAATATAACAATGAGTGATTTAACATTCGATGGCAAAATTGCTGTTGTGACAGGAGCAGGGGCTGGCCTAGGAAGAGTTTATGCTCTCTTGTTTGCTTCGAGAGGAGCCAAAGTAGTTGTTAACGATCTTGGGGGAGGCAGACATGGCGAAGGGAGTTCGTCAAAGGCTGCCGATATAGTAGTTGAGGAGATACAAAGAAATGGTAAATTGTATTTCAATCATATAAATTTATTTGACTCTTTTTTTTGTAGGTGGTACCGCAGTTGCTGACTATAATTCAGTAGTAGATGGAGAAAAAATAATAAAAACTGCTCTTGATAACTTTGGTCGAGTGGATATATTGGTTAACAATGCTGGAATACTTAGAGACAAAAGTTTTGCTAAACTTTCTGATGCAGATTGGGGTGAGTCAAATTAGAGATGCACAGTACGGTACAATTTTTCGAAGTACCGTTTCTTTTTTTTTTCATTCCAATACTCTATATATTCTACAGCTTACGATACAATACAATTCAGTACATTTTCGGCAAATATCTATCTTAAAGTTTAAAGCAGAGTTCACTAACAACAATTTTCAAAAAAAGTGACAGGTGTAATCTAACAAACAATAGCTAATGTATTTGTGAATTCTAACTACAATTCAGTCAGTTATTATTTTTATTGTAAAATTGCAGTAAGCTCAAGTCAGAAATCTGTTGCAATTTAATTAGTTTTTTAAACTGTGTTTTTGTGTTTCCATACAATGCCTCGTTTAAAAAAAATCTAGATAAATATTTGTTTTTTAAAATGTCTTTGAATAAATACATTGGCATTGATTTTATTATCTACACTCTACACTATCAGATAAATTAAAGTAAGGGCTGACGTTTGCCGACAAATTTTAAGATCCAACAAATTATGTTATTATCATTACCCGAGTCATTACCATTTATTACATGTAATACTTTCATTACACTATTGTAAAAGTTTAAGTATCGGATACTTGAAGAATCGAATAACCGGTTTTCAGGTTTCGTAAAAATCCGAATTATCTCAAACTGGTTAACCGACTATCTAGAAAACTGATTTCAGTTGCCAGCACTAGTCAATACTGGTACCTACCTTTTGAAGTTTCGTGCATCTCTGAATCAAATGCATATTTCAATTCTCTATTGTAATATCAACCTTTGTCAACTGTGATATGTTTTCGGCTCATGCCATCAAGTTATATTGAAAAAATGGTTTTGATATTTAAAATAAATTAATATTTGTTAGTAAGATGTGAATTCTTCGCTTTCTACACTTTAATTGGAACTGTTGTGATGCATTATGTACAGAATGAGATTGTCAGTCTAAGAAATATATTAACATCATACAAAATAATATTACTATCATGGAAAAATAAACTACTGGTTCTTAGTGACATAGTCGTCTTTGTCAATATCTTTTGATTAGAGTACTAATATTCTACAAAAATGTATTATTTATTATTTTGAAATTGACAGATTTTTAGTCTGTCTTTCTTTATGTAAAATTTACACTTCAAAATAATAATTTTGTGTTCAGGGTACGTGTAAACCGTTTCTGTTTTGAGTGTTGATGTGACTAATACTACCTTTGGTGACTGTACTGCCATATTTCTTTGAGGTTGAATATTGCATATATGTTCAATAATGTTACAAGGTTACTTAGGGTACAAAGGTACTTAGCTAAGATTCTTTTTATAAATGTAACATTTGTTTGCAGATCTACTACATGCAGTTCATGTAAAGGGTAGTTTTAAGACAACCCAAGCTGCATTTCCAATATTCAAAAAGCAAGGATATGGTAGAATTATCATGACATCTTCGAATTCCGGTCTTTATGGTTTGTGAATTAAATATACATGGTGTCTCAAAATGAGTGTGCAATAATATACCAGCAGATTCTACTTCTATCAAAAATTCATTCTTTTTAGGGAGTTCATCTCCTTAATGGTGTGCCTTTAAGAAAAGTTTTTATTCAATATTTCCGAAAGTTTTAAATCACCATACAATTTTTAAATTTGGTAATAGAACTTGAATAAAATTGCCCACAAAAAATTATAGTTTTTATCCCCACTTCCTGATTTTGTTAATAAAATCTGCTGATAAATTTTTGTACTCTAATTGTGAGACACCCCGTAACTATATTATGTTTAGAATATTTTTTTATAGGTAATTTTGGGCAAGCAAATTATTCGGCTGCTAAAATGGCTCTAGTTGGTTTGGCAAATACTATTGCCATTGAAGGAGGAAGAAATAATATTTATTGTAATGTGATTGTACCTACAGCAGCCAGTAGGTTAACAGAGGATATCCTTCCTCCAGAATTGTTCACTGAATTGAAACCAGAACTCATAGCTCCAGTCGTTGTAAGTATATCACTAAAAATTATACTTACTGTTTTTTGATTTTAAACACAGTCTGTCTTTTCTTGTCCTTCTGCTTTGCATTCTAATAATTTTGTATTTGCACTTCTTTCAATGTTTACTTATTAACATGTCAATATGATGATATCATCCATTTTATAACTTTTATATATGTAACTGTAATTTTCAATTTTTCTTTCAAATTTAGTTTTTAATCAGCAAATGATTTTATGCCGATAATATCAATAAATATGCGATGTTACATCATTTTAAGTTGGGGGTACAAATGTAGCTTGCTAGGTAGCTATGCCTTGTAACTTTTTTAGCACAGGGTTAAAAATACGTTTGTTTAATCAAGTACCTTTTTTGCAATAGGCATATTTGTGCCACGAAAGCTGTCAAGAAAATGGTAGTATCATTGAGTCAGCTGCTGGTTGGGCAGGCAAATGCACAATTGTACGATCAAATGGCTGCCTTCTACGCACTAAATTATCTGACAAAGTCACTATTGAAGTTGTTAGAGACAAATGGGACAAAATTACAGATACAAGTAAAGTGGAACGAATAAACTCTATTCAAGACGCAACTGGAGCTTTAGTGACATCCCTCGAAGGGCTTAGGAGTAAGCAGGAAGGTGTTGAAGAGGGAGAGACAGATAATTATGAATTTAACAACAAAGACGCAATCTTGTATGCACTTGGAGGTATTAATATATTTTTTTAATATCAATCATAAAAGTGCCTATATTTGTGATAGGTAAAATGTTTTTATCTGTGCATTAACTTGTAGAGCTGGATTTAAAATTGTAGAATTTTCTATCCTAAAACTACAAGCGTGGTGGTTGTTCAAATAAAATTTTTGGAAGAATGTTTTCAGGTATATCTTCAAAACTCGTAAATTGATTCCTTTCTAATTTAACATGGAAAGTATTAATAAGCATTCCTAAACCTGATTGATTCCATCGATGCCATACTAGAAAAGAATTTGTTCGACAGGGAGAGTCAAATTTATTTTAATATCTGACCCAAGAGTATGTGATGATATTTTTGAAACTAAGGCTTTATTCAGCGAATGGTCGGACCGGTCAGCTGTTCAACGGACGAATATTTCGTTGGTAAAGGGCGTTCAGCAAATTGTTTGACTAAAGAAGTTTAACCGAACTAATCCGACCATTTGCTGAACACAGCCTAAATGGGAACAAAAGAAATATATATTTTTATAGTTTCTAACCTATTGGAAATTTGCAAATAAACTATTTTTTTCTACGGCTAACACAATTTTCAAAAAATTTATGGAAACAAGAAATATTAATAGACATTTTTCATTCAAAATTGAAATGTGAATAATTATTTGAGGGAACCTCGGTTAACTCTGTGCAGATTATCCGGCATACGAATTATCCACGTGACGGCTAGGAATTTGTTTTCAGATTCTTTTATAACCTTCTTATATATTATAATTACATTTATTCGTTCAATTAGACATATTTTGTCAGTTATATTAGCAATCAATGTACCTACCTATTGTTATATTCATAATTGTGCCTCGCACATTGTTATATTTCTTTTAATTCGAGATACAAAATGTAAAAGAAACATTAAACAAAAACTGGAAATTTTAACTAAAACATTAACATTTTGATGTATCTTCTTAAAATTAGTCAAAGATTCACCCTTTAAAGTTTGTAGGAGTACTTAATAAACACCCTGTATATTCGTCTAAATATTACTTTAGGTATATGGTATATGTATATGTGAAATAAATAACTTTTCAATTATTCGTAAATGGCGCTGTCTCGTGATGCTCGGATAATCAGGGTTCTACTGTACATACTTTTTTTGTTAAATTGAAGTGATTACTACTGGGGGTTTAACGAGATTAATATTACCACATATGATGGCAACCTGTTCAGGTACAATGTGTACCAAAATGAGTTTGAATATCTTGATTAATTTAGAAAATATAAAAAATTATATTTTTTTTAATTTTTAAATCGCAGCGCAGATTTGGAAAAGTATTTATATGCTCCCGGCTCCGACATTAAACCTGATTCACTCTGTATATATTATATGTGTGACTCATGGTGACCACCTTGTTTTAGGATATTTCAGACATTGTTATGATTTAAACTGTGATAATTTGGATTTTATTTTTCAACTTGCTCTTTTTAAATAAAACAATGATATAGGTATTTGAAATATTTTTGGTTATATTGAAAAATGCTTGAGCCGCCAGACTATTTCCATTACAGAAACCATAAATGAAATGCATATCGGCATATTCACGGTTAGTAAAAGCATGGTTCATGGTTGTAAAGAAATCGAATGAAATGCAAAGTTGAGCACAAAGATCACAACTAAGAAAATAAAGAAACAAGAATTTAAATCATAGCACGCGAAAGTGACAATCATTAGTATCATTACAAAGAAACTGTCACTATAAAAGATGCCTACTATGTGAAAATGTTAAAAAAAATTACTGTTTTGAGCCATACATTATTTAAAAAATAATTATTTCTGACAACTACGCAGAATTCAAAAAAAAAGTAGGGACATTTTTTCTTCAAAAAAGTCCAATTCATTAAAAAATAATATTATTTGGTTGATAATTCAAAGAAATAAAAAAAATTCGAAAAATTTCTTAGTTAAATGTGCTATCATGGTCAGAAATTTATAAACCATGACAGACGTATTTATAACAACGGAGCATAGGTGAAAATCAGAATAATTTAAAGTTTAACATAAATTTGCATTTATTTGAAAGGTAGTCAGATAAATAGATTCAACTTTTGTATAATTATGTATTTATGTTATCAATATTCTGCTGCTGATGACCACTCAACATTGTCATAGTTTTTGGAGTTTTATTATATAGAAAAAACTTGAGGGGCGCAAACATTTTGGAAATGGCACTTCCAAATTTGTAAAAGATTCTCTAAACGACAAATTATTTTTTCTGTTACTTTTTTTTAATATATCATCACAAAAAATTGTAATTACCACTAGTAACCACTACGAATATTAAATATGTATATAAAATGGGCAAACTTGAATATTTGTATTATAAAAAGTATAAAACAAGTCCTGAATTTATTATGATTTGACCCACATTGAATTTAATATTGTTAAGTTGGAACGTAGAAGAGATCACCAACAGCTGATGTTTTTATACATATTCAAATTACTAAATGAACTGGATAGTCGGGACCTATATCTCAAATAGATCTTTATATTCCTGGTTCTGCAAATTTCAAAATTTTGAGTGTCAGAAATGTCTCAAAAACTTTTCACTTCTCAAGTATGGATATAAAAAGTGTCCCAAAAGTAACTCATTATTTGAACTGTGCGCCATTTTCATTCCAAAGAGTTGGCAGCATTGTACAGGATCACATGTTATAGTAAACATGTTGCGCTTAGACAAAATGAAACCCTGTATGACGGATGAGCAAGTGAAGATTCTGAAATTTCATAACAAGTACATAGAGTGTGTAGTTGAGACTGTGCTCAAGTTACGTACACTTTTCAGTAGAAGGAATGCCCTGAATGAAACAACTGAAAAGATTAGTCACCAAATTTGAACAAACAGGTTCGGTTGCAGAGAATAAAAGATGAGTAATAGTGTGGCAGAAATTCCCATAACCTCAGTGCGCCTTCAGTTACTGCAATTTAACATTTCAAAAAGCACAACGTAGCGTATTTTAATAAAATATGTCACACTATCCGTACTTGTAATGAAATTTTACAATCTTCATTCACTCATCTGTCATATAGTGTTCCATTTTGTCTAACCGCAGCAGCGTGTTTATTACTACGTGTGACCCTACACAATACTGCTAACTCTTCGGAATGAAAATGGGTTGCCCTTTATTAACGTTATTACAACAAAAAAGGTGAAATTCAATAAAAAGACCTGATGTTCCATTTAAAATAGTAAAGTTGATGTCAACTTCCAGAACAATTAGAAGTATGAGAAAATTGTAATTATTTAAGGATAACTTGGGGTATAATAATATCTGTACCCCTTCATTCTAATAGCAAGGATTAGACCAAAATTTAATGACTTTTGCAGGAAAGTGGGTGGTATATTGTTATTTAGTAGACTGCATTCTTCCATCTTACTATACCCGTGGAAAGAGCAATAACTTTCTACCTGATACCTTAAATTGCTAGCCAATCCATAGGATAAAAAATGTATAACACAATTTTTGGTTTTTTGGCCCTAACTCCAAATTTACATTTTCAATCACAACAGTTCCTGAAATATTCTAATGGATGGTCACAATGAGTAATTTCTTACATATCATTTAGTCTAACACAGAAATAAGCTTTCTTCGTTTTTATTTATTGATAACAATAGAAAAGTTTCATTTTGTATACCAATAATAGTTACATACATATATTTATTTCACAGTTGGTGCATCGGTAGCTAAACCAGAAGAACTGAAATTTCTGTACGAGTTACACGATGATTTTCAAATTTTGCCAACATTTTACGTTCTCCCAGCACTTCAAGCTGTATACATGTCTAACGCCACACAAAACGCCATCCCTGGGAAAACTGTCAGTCTAGAACGTATCCTCCATGGAGAGCAGTATCTTGAAATTGTTGGAGATTTACCCCAAGAAGGTGCATTGGTATCAAAAACGAAAATTGTTGAAGTATTAGATAAGGGTTCAGGGGCAGTAATTGTCACTGACAGTAAGTTATAATTTTTTCTCACATCATTTTTCAAAATAATTGTAATAATATGTCTACCACTCATCCCAGTTGCAAGGTTTATCCCAGAAGTCAAAGACTTAACGTGAGGGAGTGGTGACATATTATTCTTCCATCCTACCACACTCGTGAAGAGAATAACAACAATTTAACATGTTGAATTCATATGACACACCTGTTGCGTCATTAGGGGTGAGTTCTCATATGAGAATGATGTGCTTGGGGTGTCAACTTTTGATGTTACCAGTCACTCTAGTATTGACCACGAAAAGTTTCCAAAACAAAGTAAACACTTCGATTTGTAGAATAATAATTTCTGATTCTGTCACAAATTCGTATGACACACGTAGTGCGTCATGTAAAAATTGAACACTTTTTGTGCAAATTATGAACTTTCTTGAAGTATTTGCCAATGTTTTTCGAAAAAAAAAAGCATACTGCACAGGAGGGTGGAGCAGGAAAATACTTATGCAGTGAACATGTTAAACATTGGCTATCAACCAATTGATATAAGTAAAAATTTTACAAAGTATAAATTAACACTGACTGCGAATTTTAGAGCGTGTCGCACCCCAGAAGCGGCATCGTGTTTTTCGTAAATTATTGTTGTTTCTGGTATTAAGGTTACTTATTGTTTGTAATAAGTGTGTATACAGAGTGTTTTATTCGTTATTGACACGTGCACCTGACTAAAAGTTTCTGGTGCAGTGCTGATGGCCCCGATTGGGGTCATACATACGAAAAGGATAACTTTAGTCAAACACATCAAACTTTTGTGATATTATTTTTATTTGTTATAATAGAAATATTTTTCAATAACTGAAGAAGAAACAAATTCTGTGAAAACAAAAACAAAAAAGCTTTTGTGAAATTTAAAATAAAAAAAACTACCAAACTGCATCCTATTCGTGGGTAATGTCAAAACAGTCACCGACGCAAAACCCAGGTTGTTCTGGACATTCTTCGCAATGGTACAGTGTGCATTTTCTTATTTCCTTTGTAGAGTATACTCTACACCGCTTTCGATTTATACGTCTGTCCTTCGCTTTTGACCCAATTTTCGTCAGGACGTGTTTTGACGCATTCCTTCTTGTAGGCGGTTTCTTCTCTCCGGTTAACTGTATCTCTAAAAGACTACACAAGAGTGACTGTCTAAATTCGTATAACGACATTTTACAGCCAGAAAATTTTTTATATAAGAGAAACGAGTTTAGTAGCATCAGTTGTATATAGTGAATACCTAATTTTTTATACCACCTCAGCGTTTTCCTATTGCAGGGGTAGTAGGAATGCAGCTGGTCCTGCCTGTCGACACCGCCCATGTGTCTGTTGTAATGCAAAATCGGCGCTGGTCTTTCTCTATTGCGGTCTCTCTTATCCACGTACTCTACCATTTCGATTCCGTGCTCAGTGGATATGTACAAAACCTCACGCTTGTCTTTCCATTTCCCAATAGAATACCTTGCAATGGACTCCCCTTTCTTGAGTTTTTTTGTTAGGACGTCTTTGGGGTTGTGCCTTCTTTTGGCATTGAGTGTGCCAGTACAATAAGTACCACGAATAGTTAGTTGCCTGGCCAATTCATAGGAATTATAAAAATTATCCATGTAAATAGAATGACCTGAATCGAGAATCAGGCCGAGTATGTATCCCATTTTATCATAATAACAGTTATGTTATTTCAGGGTTGTTAACGTTACCTGTTAAGGGCTCACATATAGCTGAGCACCTAGAAGTAGGGTTATGTTTAAGATTTTTTTTCGTGTATAAAACTGCATTTTTTTAAAAAACCATAATAAACATTTTGAAGTATGGCATTTATTATAAATTGTGTGAAAATTGGGTTCGAAAATTTTGAATGGTAAAAAAATTGCAGTCGTTTTCCGGGGTGTGTTTTTTTCGAGAGCGTTCGCGGTACCAGACGTGCCTCCGCCATTTCTTATCTGAAAAAAAAAAAATATTTTCTCAAAGTAGATAGACAGAACTAGTACTTATCGAGCCGGAATTTGCGAATTCAATTTTTTCGGGTCATGGCAGTCATTTGCATAAAATTGGCGGTTTTTCGCCTTAAAATTGTTGAGTAATTATAAGAAAAAAAAAACTATGTAAAATATCGAAAAAAGGGCTCGATAAGTACTAGATTATTGTGTGAAGCATAACTTTGAAAAATTTGATCCCGATCGGTTCAGTAGTTGCGGAGATATTTCTGGTACCGATTTTGAAAATACTGTTT